CTTCATAAATTGTATCAAATGCAAATGCACAGCTTGAAATTTTAAGAAAAATTTTGGTAAAGGAGAATAAAAGTAATCTGAAAAGAAACTTCTCTGGTGGGGTGGCACATGCCTGTAGTTCCAGCTGCTGGGGAGGCTGAGATGGGAGGATCACTTGAACTCCCGAGTTAAAAGAAAGAAAGAAAGAGAGAGAGAGAACTGATGGAAACTTTATAATGCTAACAAGTAAGAAGTAAGTAAGGGTGCTCACTTATAAAAAAGCCTTGAAACATAGTCCTGTCTCCTTCTCAGCTTGCCACTTACTAAGCTCTCAGATATTTGTTGAATTAATGAAAAATGAACCAAAAATGCATTTCTGCTTCCTTGCCTGCCACTCATTCCTTAACCAGTTGGAATTTGAAATCACTTCCAAAAACTGATGTCACTTGCATTCACCTAATTGCCAAACTAAATGAACAAGATTTGCTTTGCATCCTGATGAACCTCTTGTAGCATTTGGCTATGCCAGATGTCTTTAATTTCTGGGATTCTACTTTGTCCTGGTGTTCATTTTTGCAGGTTTTTTCTCTGCTACATTGAAATTTTTGGTATATATGTTGTTCTTCTGTTTTGTGATTTTTTTGTTTTTTGTTTTTGTTTTCGGAGACAGAGTCTTGCTCTGTATCCTAGGCTGGAGTGCAGTGGCACCATCTTGGCTCACTGCAACCTTTGCCGCCTAAGTTCGAGATTCTCATGCCTCAGCGTCCTGAGTAGCTGGGACTACAGGCACGTGCCGCCACGCCCAATTAATTTTTGTGTTTTTAGTTGGGTTGGGGTTTCACCATGTTGGCCAGGCCGGTCTCAAACTCCTGACCTTAGGTGATCCGCCCGCCTCGGCCTCCCAAAGTGCTGGCATTACAGTTGTGAACCACTGCACCAGCCTGGTATGTATGTTCTTGGCTCCCTTCTTACTCCAGGCTCCTTCTAACCCATCCTCATAGTTCTATAACCTTTCAGTTTCTAGCCTGGATCTCTTATACATTCAAGATTCCTTTCTCTGCCTGGATATTTAGTAGGCATCCCAAATTAAGTATGTTTCATTGTTATCCCTGAATCCAAACAGTATACAGGCAGGCACAAAGGCCTTCCTGGATTTTTTTTTCCCACCTGTATTCCCTATCATAGTTGATGGTCTCTGCACAAATTTAGTCTGTATGCAGCATTGTATCGGGTATGGGTATGTTTTTAGGGAGTGTGAACTTTAGAATCAGAAAATTTTAGTTGAGATCGTGGCCTAGGCATCATCTAAAACAGATGTAACCCTTTTTGAGTATTATCTCAAAACAGGTATAACAGATCTGCCTTAGTTAACATGATTAAGTAAAAAGTACAACATGTCATATCACTTAAACTCATTGCTGCCTGATAACCACTCAAATATTGGTTTCTTCTTCTCTTTCCAAATAATATTTTATTTATTTTTTTTTTTTTTGGGACGGAGTCTTGCTCTGTCGCCCAGGCTGGGGTGCAGTGGCCGGATCTCAGCTCACTGCAAGCTCTGCCTCCTGGGTTTACGCCATTCTCCTGCCTCAGCCTCCCGAGTAGCTGGGACTACAGGCGCCCGTCAACCCGCCCGGCTAGTTTTTTTGCATTTTTTAGTAGAGACGGGATTTCACCGTGTTAGCCAGGATGGTCTCGATCTCCTGACCTCGTGATCCGCCCGTCTCGGCCTCCCAAAGTGCTGGGATTACAGGCTTGAGCCACCGCACCCGGCCTCCAAATAATATTTTCTTTATGGAATGTAATAATACTCTGCAACTGTCTCAGATTATGGTATCTGACGGTTCTCTTGCTGGTCTTTTGCCTGAATGATGGTTATACTGTTATGTGGTATAGTCTTTAATTTTTTAAATACATTATGATAATTTAAGTGGAGACTATGGAGTGTTTCCTTAGAAGCTACACTAGTCTGTCTTGTGTGTTCATTTAGGTGTTAATTTAGTGAGTCGCTTACTGCTGAAATGATAAAGAAGTGCTTTTTGGAGGGATTAGATGAATATTAGTTCTGGCTTAGGCTTCCTTAAAATTTACTCTTAAGCTTTCAATGACCAGAGAAGTCGTTCTTACTGTTGCTCATTTCTTTTTTTTTTTTTTTTTTGACAGTTTCAGTACCAATGAGTCTTTATTTATTCATTGTATTTTCCCAGGGAAAGGAGAAGGGAAGGGAAAACAGTGAGTTTGTATGTTACAAAATCATTAGAAAATGGGAAAGGAAGTACCTGGTTCAGCAAAATCAACCATCAAATAGATGCCCACCCCCCCAGTGATGGGGAAACCAGTGCCCAGTGGGCCTCAGTCTCCTACAGTTCAGGAATGAGGAGAAGGGATCAGGAAAAGAACAGACAGGTAAAGGCTTTCTTACCCATCCTCTGCATAGAGATTTCACACAAAGCTTTGATTTGTAGCAGTAAACGGAGTCACATTTGTTCGTCTCCTATAAAATAATCTTGTGGCTACTTTGACATAAGTTTCTTGTACCTGCATGAAAGTTCCAGGCTGCCTTGGATACACATTTAGATTCCTTTTCTTGGCCTCCTGACCATCCTGACCCTCTTGACTTTCTACAGGGAAAGGCCCTTTATTGCTTCTACTTTATTATTAAAGATTTAATCTATCCAAAATATAGTAGTGTCTGAAGTGTTTGGCATGAATCACATTAAGAAGTGGTCTTGGCTCAGGAGGTTGAGAACAAGGAAGAGAGGGTTCCTAGTTTCTTCAGGATTTTTGCAGAAATCATTTAAGAGTTGTGGAGACAACCCAAGAATTAAATGTGTGTGGGCGTGTTCATTCTTAAAACCCATGGGGTTTTTTTGTTTGTTTTTTGGTTTTTGGGTTTTTTTGCATGCCCTTTCACTGTGTTAAGGTATAGAAAATAGAGCAATAATAAGCAACTGTCTTAATAGATTTTATAACATAGAATATACCTTTTATAAATGTATGCTACCTATTTATGAATCATGCAGTGTTGATTTTTTTAGAATTTGTATTTAAGTTGAAATATGTTAAATCGTTTCTTGCTGGTTTATATAATTTTAAGGATTTACTATTTCTTTTCTTTTTTCTTTTTTTTTTTTAAAAAGACAAAGAGTCTCACTCTGTCGCCCAGCCTAGAGTGCAGTGGCACAATCATGGCTTATTGCAACCTCCTCCTGGGTTCAAGCGGGTCTCCTGCCTCAGCCTCCCAAGTAGCTGGGACTACAGGCGCCTGCCACCATTTTGTATTTATAGTAGAGAGGGGGTTTCGCCATGTTGGCCTGGCTGGTCTCAAACTCCTGTCGTCAGGTGAGCCACTGCACCTGGCCTTACTATTTCTTTTCTAATTGCCTTTCAGTTAGCATTTTATTCTCAAAGAGAATTTTTTATTACATTGGTAAATGAAGTAATACAATGAAGAATCACAACCTTATTTAGAGAATCCTTTTATTAAAATGAATTCCTGTATTCATATCTTAGTGTTTTCTCCATTTTCTGTATCTTATGGAAAATTATATTATTTTCTGCTTAAGTAGTTATCTGGTTTTTTATTGATTATATTTGGCATTCCATACCTTTTCTAAAATTGTTACTGATGTCTAGTTTTGAAAAGGTGTGAAAACTGTCTGAATTTTTAGGATACACTGCTAGGTGGGGCTGTTTACTCTGAGAAAACACTCGTGTTTTAGGCTAGCCTCTTAGCTAGTGGTCTGGTAAAAGTTCATACCCTAGGGCTCCATATTTGGAATATTGACATAAATTGAAAGAATGGAAATGTGATTTGTATGAGTTTCATAATGTTAGGAATCTCTGAAACTTCACAATATCTTTTGGAAGTCCCAGGTAAGTGTATGCTTATGGTTAAACCAAACAAAAACAATAAGAAGCTAGATATGTTTCATAATGTCAGGATTTTATCTTTATAACCCTCTATGGACTCTCTTTATGTTTTGGTTGGATTTAGCCCTTTGGGAGAAGTATGTGGTTAAGTCTCATGGAAGCACCTGATGGCTGTAGATTTACTGTTGTGAGATTTGTTAAATTTGGTTTTTATTTGTTTGTGCTTTTTGGAAACAAAATCTTGCTGTGTTGCCCAGGCTGGAGTGCAGTGACGCAGTCTTGGCTCACTGCAACCTCCACCTCCTGAGTAGCTGGGATTACAGGCGCATGCCACCACAGCCGGCTAATTTTTGTATATTTAGTAGAGACATTATAGGATATAAAAAGTAATTCCCCCATCTGTGGAATGTTAAGCGGACATCCAAGACAGTCAAAGCCTCCCGTAATACAACATCCCACACTCTTCTGGTTGTACCAAAAAATAACCAGTGAATGATTTTACCTCTTTAAAAAAAAAAAAGCATTTATACATAAAAAGTGGGATGAAGAGACCACTGATAAGACATGGTATGTACTGAGTAGAGTTGGCTTCTTTCTCTGGCGTCATCAGAGGCTGGACTCTCGTTGGTTTTAGTTTCTCCATTTTCTGCAGGTAAATCTTTAGTTTCTTGGTTAGTCACTTGAGCCTGTTTTCTCGTTGCTCCCCCTCCCTTTCCCTTTTGTTTGCACTTTTTTGTCTAAGGATTTATCCTTCTCTGCTGCCGTTTTTCAGCTTCATTTCCTCTTTGGCAGGAACAGGTTTAGCTGACAGCCATGCCAGTTGCCTCTTGGGCTGTTTCTTCCCTACCCCTTCACCACCCCTTTGGCAAAGCTGACCTCCTTCTTGGGTATCATGGCAGTGGGGAGGGTGTGTGTTGGGTGCCTGCACACCAAGAGCCTTCGCAAAGCTGGGCTGCCTGGCCACCGAAGCTCTTCCTGCTGCCCTGGCTGCTAAGACCTCCCTCCCCACCCACCCCATTTGTATTTTCCAAGTGGTGATGCAGATATGTAGGAAAGGTGGTTATTTACTAGCCAAATAGTTAAACTTTATGTTTCAAAAGATTTTTTAAAGTGTTGTTTTGTGTGTTTTTTTTTTTTTGTCTTTTAAGCTCTTTTCGCTTATGGATATGAAACCTCCCATCTCTAGAGCCAAGATGATTCTCATCACTAAAGCTGCTATTAAAGCTATTAAGGTAATGACAAAATAAATCAATTTGAGAAATGTTTTTGAAATTTTGAAAATATTTTTTACTTTTAAACATGAGAAGTCAACTTGTGAATTAGTTCAGGCCTAAGTCAAAGAGCTCTAACCAGCCTTTGCTTAAGGTACATGATAAGCATACATTTGCATTGTAACGTATTGTTTCAAAGCAGTTTGGTTTTTGGCAGGGATAGGGGGGCAGAGTCTCACTGTGTCGCCCAGGCTGGAATGCAATGGTGGGATCTTGGCTCACTGCAACTTCCCCCTCCCGGGTTCAAGTGATTCTCATGCCTGAGCCACCCAAGTAACTGGGATTACAGGTGTGCGCCACCATGCCCAGCCTCAAAGCAGTTTTTTTAAATTTTCACATATTCCTTATCATAAACCAACTATTTAGCGTCGTTTTTATTTAAAGAGAAAAAATTCAAGCTCCATGAAATGAAATGTCTTACCCAATATCACACTTTAAAATGTGAGTTGTTTTAGAAACTACATTGTTTAGCTCTAATCCATTGGTTTTGTCCCATAAGGTTGCCAAATATTCTGCTTCGTGAAGGTTTTTTGTTTTAAAATTTAAGAAAAAGGACCTTCTGTTTGGGGAATTTTTGTAGTTTTCTGTTTTTAGTTTTTCTCTGATTTGTGTTTTAAGATTTTTTTAAATTTTTGATTATGTGTTTCTCATGGTTCATTCAGTATTGATAATATTTAAATTGTATAGATTTCAGAGTTTTAAGTATTTTCTAATTGTAGGAAATGCAGAAATATGTAAACTGAACAGTAATTTTCTCTTAATTCTTTCAGCTTTATAAGCATGTAGTTCAAATAGTAGAAAAGTTCATCAAAAAGGTAACTATCTCTCATTATTACCTCATTTTAGTTACAATATGATTTGTAATTGACTTCGTAAATTTTAACCTGGATGCTTGTTTCTAAAGCCACTTCATAAAAATGTAGTCACTAGAGGTTCTTTTTAATCACTAGAAGTTTATAAAAACAAATTTTTAGCAGTACCATTAATTGGTACGTCACTTACTATGAACTTAGCACTCAGCTCACAGCAGTTTCTTATGTGTTGGTCATGACCCTTCCCTAAACCTGAAGTGCTTACTCTACCCCTTGCCCTGACTGCTATTGATGTTTAAGCGTTTAACTCAGCTTTGAGTATTTCAAATGAAATTACTTTGTAAAGTTTTCCCAGTTTTTCCCTTTTCCCATCAGAATAAAATTTTCAGTTCAGTTGTCTGTTGTTTTACAACTGTGTGATTAGCATACATCTGTCTCAGTAGAAAATAGAGAACAGAGACTTAGTTCTTAACCCCTGACCTGGAGCAATGACATGTAGTACCTACTAATCAGTGTTTATAAAAATGTCTCTAATCCATGGCCCTTGTATACTGGCTTAGGTATAAAAGTTAAAGCTCCAACAGGCAAAAAAAAAAAAGGTTAGTAAATGCTTTGCATAGTAGTACATCAAAGTACAAATAAATAAAGTGGAAAAAATTACCTAGAGGCACTATCACCAAGTTACTGCGATAGTTATTAATACATTTGGATTTATTTTTTATTTATGTACATGTACATTTATAAAAGTAAAAATGGATATAATACTGGTTGTTAGCCTGCTTTTCCCACAGAGTTTATCTAAACATTTACAAAATACTCCTCTCTGCGATTGTTACCATGATGCACGCAGCCATTTTCTGAGTTGTTTGACCTAATTTTTTTTTTTTTTTTTGCCATAAATTCCTAGATGTAGAATTGGTGAATTAAATAAGACTTTGCTTTTATTGCTAAAGTGTCTTCCATAAAGGGTTATACCTGTTTCCACTACCACCAGAAATATATATAGGTGTCTATTTCTCTGCTTTTCTCTGCTGTTGTCAGTTTGTTTAGCCAAAAACAACTTCTCCTTTTTAATTTTTATTTGGTACTGTACTTTAATAGAATTAAAATTGATACATTTAAAAATGTTTTGTTAATTTTGAAAGGTAAAAATTACCTTTTTGAGCAGGATGAATTGTAGAGATTATCATAATAGGTGAATTTATATGGAACTGGCTTAAGGATTGGTAATGTCGATTTTGGTACATTGGGTGTAGGGAAGCAGAGAAATCAAAGAAGAATAAAACCTTGGGGGTCAATAGTATCAAGAGAATAATGGTAGTTCCGTATAGACATGGGCAGTTTGACAGGTTAGCCATTTGGAGAGCTGAAGCATTCAAGTAGTTTTTTAAAAAAAGCAACCTTTGGATGGATATAGAAAAGTTTCATAAATGTGAAAATAATGGGTGTCAAAGATTGTGACTTTGCTTTTTCTGTACTGATTTTACATCTTTATCCTTGCAGTGTAAACCAGAATACAAGGTTCCAGGATTATATGTAATTGACTCAATTGTGCGACAGTCTCGTCATCAGTTTGGAACTGATAAAGATGTTTTTGGGCCAAGATTCTCTAAAAACATAACCGCCACATTCCAATATTTATATCTTTGTCCATCTGAAGATAAGGTATAGTTAATTTTTAAACTAAAACTTGTATTCTTTTTTAAAAAATACTATTTTAAATGTATATTAGATATTTGGAACCTACTGTATTTACTAGATAAGATTTTCGTATAGCGATGTCTGTGAGGTTGAAACAAAACACAGTTTTTTCTTCAGTAGTCATTTCATATTTATCTGTTATGAGTTCTTCAGGATTATCAGTCATACTGTTGAAATATGACAGGAACAAAATTTATAGAATCAAAGAGTGTAATAGTGGTTGCCAGGGACCAGGGGTAAGGGAAACATTAGGAGCTGCTAATCAGTGGTTTGACATTTCAGTTAAGCAAGATGAATAGGTTGTAGAGATCTGTTGAACAACCTTGTACCTATAGTTAACAGTTCTGTATTGTACACTTAAAATGTGCTAAGTGAGTGGATCTCAGTTAAGTGTTCTTACCACAGTAAAGTAAAATTTTTAAAAAATAACACAAAAAGAACATCATCTTTAAAGAAGGTATCATTGGAAAGATGTGCTTGTGTAGTTGAGTGAGGAAGAAATTGTGCTGTAGAAAAAGACAGCTATCATCTGATTGTTGGTTATTCCAGAAAGAAAGGTCCAATAACTGATGTTCTTCCCCAACATATAGAGATGCTAATGCTTAAGTGGTATTCATTAGCAATCAGACTACAGTATTTAATTCCTGATATATATACAGTTGGCTTTACAACATACTATATAAAAGTAGAAAAACATTACAGATATAGTAGCTGACTATAAGTAGGTGGGGGAATTATACTAGTAAACATACTCAGAATAATGAAGAACAGAGACATTTACAATAAACAGCATATAAATTTGAGTGTCATAGATGCTGTTTTTATATTCTTGGAAGAATGCTGTTATGGGAAAAATACACCCAAAACCAAGATGATTCCTTAAGTAAAAATAAAAGTTGTGCCCGTGAATAACATCTTCTCTGGATCTCCTTCATATTTACTTGGCCACGTAATTTAAATTTTGATTACAGGCCAGTTTCTTAAATATTTTAGCTGTTATAATTACTCTCAAGAAATTCTCCTTCATTTACTTCTTTAAGATAGCTTTTTTTTTTTTTTGGTCAGTGATAGAGTTTCTTTGTAACCATAAGTAAAATAAAATGAAAATGTCAAATAATACATTTCTTTTTATTGTCTGGGTCCGTAGTCCCTCTCTGTTCCTTACTCTAGATGATACCACTGAAGAAAGACTATTTAGAGTAGTTTAACCAAGTTATATTTCTGATTTTTTTTCACCTGTTTATGAAACACACGTAGTATGGAAATATTAGCCTAGGGGGTTTTCCTCTTTTTTTTTTTTGTAAGAGTATAATAGGTTATTTATGCCAATATTTATTGTATATTTGTGTTCCCCATGCATAACAGAGTAAAATAGTTCGTGTGCTGAACCTTTGGCAAAAAAATGGAGTGTTCAAAATTGAAATTATTCAGCCTCTTTTGGACATGGCAGCAGGAACTAGTAATGCAGCCCCAGTAGCAGAAAGTGTTACCAATAATGAAGGTATGGTCAAATGTATCTGTGAGCTCACACAATGGCATAATTTTTTGCACATGAAACAGTCAGAGTTTATCTGTATTGATGGAATTTTTCTATAAGAAGGAAACTTGAGTTTACATCTTGGAAGGTACGATTTTCTTTCCATAATTCCTATTTATAATAAAGGTCTACTTTTCTGGTAGTTGTTACAGTATAAACTCTAGTGCCACAATCTATATATTTTATACTGTGTTAAATTGGATAAAATGTTATTTTAGCGAAGAAGCTTAATTAGGAAAACTCGCAGATTAACTTGTTTTTAGGTCTTAATGCCCTTTTCTTTTTTAGGCTCACCTCCACCTCCAGTAAAAGTTTCTTCTGAACCTCCCGCACAAGCCACTCCAAACTCCGTCCCAACTGTACCACAGTTGCCCAGCTCTGATGCTTTTGCTGCTGTGGCTCAGCTGTTTCAGACAACTCAAGGCCAACAGGTAAACTGTCTACTCAAAGGTGAAATTGTTTGCAGGACTAGGTACTGTTGTCACTTCTTGTTTTCTGTTCTTCATTAATAAGCACATTCAAAGGAGAAAATACATCTGCTTTTCAACTAGAAAAGCCTTCACGAGAAGTAATGTAGGAGTAATAGGGAAAATGTAGAAGTGATAAACAAGGGAACAACACACAACTTTAGAACTGCTAAGTGGCTCATGTTGCTCACAGTTCTAGCATTTCTGATGGATTTCAAAATTATTTGTAATGGAGAGGATTTTTCCATTTTTCTAGAAAACTTATGCTTACCTTGTTCACAATTTAGTGTATTTTCTTTTCTCTTTGACCATCATCTTATATCATTGACATTGTCAGCATACATTTTTAACCTTAAGCAATGCCCATTGTATCTCTGTATATTCATTCACAACAAATTTAACCATTAGTAAAAGGATTTTTTCCCAATTTATTCTGTGCCTGTGCTACTTTGAATCACCTTTAAGACTTTTTTTTATTAAATTAACTTTTGATAGTATGATTATACTTTGTTCTGTGATTTATTGGTTTTCCCATTCTTTAAGCTTCAGCAGATCCTTCAGACTTTTCAACAGCCTCCAAAACCACAGTCTCCTGCCCTTGACAATGCTGTGATGGCTCAGGTTCAGGCTATCACAGCTCAGTTAAAGACAACTCCTACACAACCATCTGAACAAAAAGCTGCTTTCCCCCCACCTGAACAGAAAACTGCATTTGACAAGGTATATTTCTCTCACATAACCCACTCCACCATTTATATCACTCAACTTGAATAATGGAAGTTATCCCTTCTGTGGATTGTGCATTATGTTGTTTTGTAATTTGAGAGATTTTCCCCCTCAACATCAAAACATCGATTATTTTCCCTGGTTTTAAATGTGATGTGTGCTCACTGCAAAAATTTCCAGGGTTTGAAGCTGAATTTGCTAGTGTAAAATGAAAAAAGTTAAAAAAAAAAAAATTAGGGAGTAAAGGAAACAGAAAATTCTTCATTAACCCCAGTACTTGGGGATTACTGTGTAACATTTTGCCTTATATCTTTTCAGAATTAATTTCCTACAGATACGTGCTTTTCTTTAATTGATTATAATACATACCCACTTGTTTTGGTGTTAATACTCTTATATCTTTTTTGTTGTTGTTAACGTTAATAGTGGATTTAGATCTACATTTTTACTGAATGCATGTAATACATAGTATTCCACTACACGAGCACATTACAGTTCAGCCATTCCACTACTAATAGACATTCAAATTGCTTTCAGTTTTTTGCTGTTAAAAACCCAGACAGCCAAATGTGGTGACTCATGCCTATAGTCCCAACACTTTGGGAGGTCGAGAAGGGAGGATCTCATGAGCCCAGGAGTTTGAGACCAGCCTGGGCAACATAGTGAGACCCCGTCTGTGTTTATTTTTAATATATATGTGTGTGTATTAATAATGTATGGGTATTTTTAATATATAAAAATGTATAAAATATATTATTTTTAATATGTGTGTGTGCGTGCATTTTAACTTAGTTACCATATGTATAATATGAGGGTTTGGGAACCAGCTGGGCATGGTCTCATCTGTAGCCCTAGCCACTCAGGATGCTGAGGTGGGAGGATTGCTTGGCCCCAGGAATTCAAAGCTGCAGTAAGCCATGATTGTGCCACTAGCCTGGGCAACAGAATGAGATCCTGTCTCTAAAAAACAAGCAACAACAAAAAAGAGGATTTGAGTTAGGTCAGTGTCTTTCAGCTGCTCTATTGGGCCTGTGGTTTCTTAGGCGTCTTTAAGAAGTTGCCACTAAGGATATGGATATGCTGAACAGCTTAGAGCTTCTCATTGAAATTTAACCCTAACAGCTTCACTCTTGTCTGTTTTATTTGGTTTATGACTTTGTAAAACATCATTTGACATTTCAGTTTTCACTGCAAAAAAACTCAAAAGTTTGAAAATCAGGACTGATGCCTTTGGTTTCATCATCTTTAAAATTTCTGATTCTTTCCAACATCCTAACTATAAAAACAGAAGGACTTTATTGCCAATAGTCTAAATTTAAAAAAATGTGCGTAGTAAATAACAGTTTTCTTTCTTTTTTTTTTTTTTTTTTTGAGACGGAGTCTCGCTGTGTCTCCCAGGCTGGAGTGCAGTGGCATGATCTCAGCTCACTGCAAGCTCCGCCTCCCGGGTTCACGCCATTCTCCCACCTCAGCCTCCCAAGTAGCTGGGACTACAGGCGCCCGCTACCACGCGCGGCTAGTTTTTTGTATTTTTAGTCGAGACGGGGTTTCACCATGTTAGCCAGGATAGTCTTGATCTCCTGACCTCGTGATCCACCCGCCTCGGCCTCCCAAAGTGCTGGGATTACAGGCTTGAGCCACCGCGCCCGGCTAACAGTTTTCATTATATCTTAGTGATTTATGAGTGATGACTGATTAAACAAAAGTTGGATAAATTTTTTTGAGTAAAAAGGAAATATATACGTGTATGAAAAAAAAAAACCAGGTAATACAGAAAGTTATAAAATAAGGGAAGAATTCCACACTGTAGATTTGAACAGATTTGTTTGTGTATATTCTTACATACCTGTTTGCATGCGCATATGAACATAAATTCATGTATTTGGTTTTATTAGTTTTTTGTTTTATGTTGTGATTAGGAAAACTCATTTGTATTAAAAAAGAATTCTGTATTCTAGTAAAGTTTTTTTTTTAATGATTGTTTAGTCCCTCTGGAATCTGTTTTAGAATGTGGTTCAAGATAGTTAAACCTTTATATTTTTGAAAATAGCCAGTTCTCCCTCACTACTTTTTTATACACTAAATTCCCATATGTTTCTGTGTCTTACCTCTGGACACTGTTCTGTCCCACTAATATATTTGTTTATTTCTGCATCATCATTGTTCTTGTAACAGACTGTCTTTCATTTCCTGGTGTCCCATCTCTCCCCCTCCCACTTAACTGTTTTTCAAACTCTCCCTCATACTTTTTCCAACTTTATTCATTTATCATGAAGTGTATTAGTCAGGAGTTCCAGGGAAACAAAACTAGTAATTGTATCTACATCTGCATCTGTCTATCTAGATTGTTGAATGAAAGATAGGTTTGCCTTACGAAACTGGCTCATGCAATTGTAGGAGCTAGCAATTTTGAAATTTGTAGGGCAGGTCTGCAGGCTGGAAATTCAGGAGGCGTTAACATTGTAGGCCTGAGTCTGAATTTGCAGGATAGCAGACTAAAAACTCAGGCCAGGGTTTCTCTGTTGCACTGTTGAGGATAATTCCTTCTACCTCAGTTCTTATTTTTAATGCCTTCAACTGATTGATTGAGGCCCACTCATTATCGAGAGTAGTCTGCTTTACTCAGAGTCTACTGATTTAAATGTTACTCTCATCTAAAAAACACCTTCACAGCAACATCTAGGTTAGTGTTGGACGATACACTGAGCACTACATAACTTAGGTTGACACAAAATTAACCATCACAGCATACTTTTCCAGATAAACTGGAAAACTCTATACATTTCTATGTCGGTGTATAGAATTCCTTTGAATTTATAGGTAAATTTAGGAAAAGCCATGATGGTGAGCATCTTTCTCTTATTAATGTGAATTCTAATTGCTCTAGTATTTAACCTTAAGTTGATTGGCCCGTAAGTTTAGAAAAAGGAATTCTGTGCTTTTCCTTTGACATAAAAGGTCTATTTCAGGCTTCTCACTGAAAATAATTTGTCTGTTTCAGCTGCTTTATAGATCTTCAGTTTCCTAAAAAACAACTAAAATTTCTTTTTGGATAGACCCCATTTAAATTTTTTAATTGCTTCAACTATTTTTTTCAAAGCAGTATTCTTCAAACTTTAAAGAACATATTAGTATGTAATAAACCGTGAAGATCATAGGTTTTGTTTTTTGTAGGCAACTTTGACCAGATTTTAATTTTGGCTCCAATTACTTAAAGACTATCCTGTTGTTGAATTCATGTTTAGTGTTCAGTAGTGTAAAATAAAGATGGTAGTAAAAATATTTTATTGTTGCCATGAGGGTTAAATAAAAATGTGTGTAAAACAGCAAGGTACCTGGGCTATGATGGTTCCTGTTCAGAAAATACTAACTTGCTCATTTGTAAGAACTTTACTCACTTGGCCTAGAACTACAAAGAAAGAAACATAAGTTAGCTCTATCCCAAAACACTCTTTACACTTAGTTTAGTCCTATATACTGTGTTGTCTAAGGACGGAACTTTCATTACTGATTCAGAAGTCTGTTGTTCAATAAAGCAAAACCAGAATCTCTAGGCAGAACTATTTTTTCTTTTTCTTCTTCTCTTTTTTTTTTTTTCCCCGCCAGATGGAGTCTCGTTCTGTCACCCTGGCTGGAGTGCAGTGGTGCAATCTCGGCTCACTGCAAACTCCGCCTCCCGGGTTCATGCCATTCTCCTGCCTCAGCCTCCCAAGTAGCTGGGACTACAGGCGTCCACCACCTCGCCTGGCTAATTTTTTTATTTTTATTTTTAGTAGAGACGGGGTTTCACCGTGTTAGCCAGGATGGTCTCGATCTCCTGACCTCATGATCCGCCTGCCTCGGCCTCCCAAAGTGCTGGGATTACAGGCATGAGCCACCGCGCCTGGCCAGACAGAACTATTATAGAATGACACAAGTTTAGGAATTTAAGGAGCACAACTTGAAAGGAAAGATTGCTTATTGAAAGCCAGAGACTGAGGGCTTTCAAGTCGAAAGGACTAGTGTCCGCATCCTGATTCTACCATTCACTGACTGTACAATCTTAATCATGTTTCTTAATCACCTGAGCCTTTGTTTTCTTGTTGTAAAAAAGAAGAAACTATCTAAATTGCAGTGTTCTTGTGATGATGAAGTCTATATGATATGATACACATTAGTAGGTATTTAATGCATTACCTTTTTTCTGAATAAATCTTACTTAAAATTGTTCTTCTAGATATGTGATCTCATTAAGTCTCCTGAATTTTTTTTTAAATGAAAGTTTCTGATAAGCTGTGAAGTTATGATAAAGAAGCAAATGAACCTCTCAGTGATCTGCTAGTGACTTTTTTGTGTCCCTGCCGTTTTTTTCTTTCTTTATGTTAGTATATTTTTGAGGAAGCAGTATATGGACACTTTTCTATATGCATTTATGGTGATTGGATAAGACAGTCTTTTTGTACATTTTATATTGACTGAAAATGTATACCCATTTTCATGTGCACGAAGTTCCAAACATTTTTAGTCTAGGGAAATGAGTATTTTAGAAAAATATGTATGCTGCTAAATTACTTGTGAAATACACCAATAGAAAATAGAAAGAAAGCACTGTACTTAAAATTGAGGAAGGAAAACAGAATGAAAACATTGTGTGTTTTCCAAACTGGCATCTGTGTAAAAATTGTTTATATCTACAAACCAAGGTCCTTAGGGGCATGAGGGAAAAGGAGATTGTGCTTGACAGTGTGGGTTTCTAGATAGTGGTAAACATCCTTTGTTTTCATAAAGTTTTTTGTGCAATGAATCAGTCTAAATTTTAAAATGAAATATTGACATAATTATTCCAGAAGTTGCTTGATAGATTTGACTATGATGATGAGCCAGAAGCTGTGGAAGAATCGAAGAAAGAGGATACCACTGCCGTTGCCACAACAGTACCTGCTGCTGCTGTGCCCCCTGCACCTACCGCCACTGTGCCTGCTGCTGCTGCACCCGCTGCTGCCTCTCCTCCTCCTCCACAGGCACCATTGTTAGTTGTTTTTTTATTCCTCAGCAGATAGAAAATTGGTAATAGTTGTAAGGCATAATCTAAGTAACATTTAGCAATGAAAACAATTTTCAGTGAAGTTGTTTTGTAAAATTTGTGGTATTAGTTTTCTCTTGAATGAGGAAGGGATCCTCTAAGATTTAAAACAAAAAATGGCTTTTATGTTGGGAATAATACTGAGTTTATAAATTAAATGTAATATATAGGTAAATATGTGGTTCAGTAAAATGTTAATTAATGACTCATGAACAACACTGTTTCTGTAGTTTAAGTGTGGCTGAGAAGCTCATGCTTCTGAATGTGTAAAAGATTATCCACCTTTTTTTAGTGGCTTTCCTGGAGATGGCATGCAGCAGCCAGCATACACACAAAATATGGATCAGTTTCAGCCACGAATGATGGGAATACAACAGGATCCAATGCACCATCAGGTACAAGCATTTTTCTTGCAGTTGAAAGAAAGATCTATTCATTATAGAGTATATGGTTTACATTCCACAGAGCACTATGCAGCTATGTGATGGGCTGAGTCGTACTATAGCTCTGATAAAAGCTGTTGAACACATAACTGTTTTGAGTTGCTTTTTTTCTGTAATTAAAACGAGGATGCCAAAATCACATGCTCATATTTTAATAATAGGCATTTTAGTTAAAATAATTTAGAGATTACAGTTATATTTGAAGAAACCGACCTGTTTAGTTAGACAACTTTTTCCCTTGGAAGGGCCTTTCTTCTGTAGTTTGTGTGGTTAGATACTTGAGAGAGCTCTGAGCTCTGAACATTCAGGAATATAGTTTGAAATCCGCAATAAAAGGAGCATACATAATACACTGGAGAGTTGCAGGAAGTTAGTAGAGATAAATTTGTTACAGTAAATTCTCTCATTGAGTGTTCTCTTAAATTTGGCTCTGTATCTAAATTATGGGGATGGGGTGGGAAGCATTTTTGTTATTTCAAGTGTTTAACCATTACTGAAAGTTCATAAATAATTTAGAAAGAATACTTAAAGCATTATATTTATAGTTTTATTTGTATTTAAATTGACATGCAGAAATATGTCAGACTGTAGTTTACTTTCATTATTATTATGATACTTTATTTGAAACTCTAAAAGTTGGGTATGTTAGTTGAAATTCCCCCTTGGTAAATTTTTTTAAAGTAAACCTAGGAGTCATTGCTTCTAGAAAGCCAGTTTTCCTCCCAAAAGGCTTAATTGTCTTTAAAGCTGAAAAAAGACCATTTGCAATAGAGTACTTCTGACTTGAAGTTCAGTTTATCACATTGCTTCCTTATGTAAATGAAGGTATTTCTTTAAATATTTAAAACTAAACCTGTGTGTTCGTAATTTTAAAAAGAGTTACAGGATTTTTAACCTATATACTTGGTATGTAACAATCCTTGCATGAAAATTGTACATAGGGAAATTGTTAAACAATGTTGAATGTCATTGTAACTTTTCCTTGATAAAAGTTTATTGAAGATATTTTAGTTTTATATAATAAAGGTTTTCCAAATTATTTTGATAGCTATTACTCATACACTTTCTTTAAAAATGAAAGGTTCCACTTCCTCCTAATGGACAAATGCCAGGATTTGGACTTCTTCCTACACCTCCATTTCCTCCCATGGCTCAGCCTGTGATTCCTCCAACTCCACCAGTGCAACAGCCTTTCCAAGCTTCTTTTCAGGCACAGAATGAACCACTTACACAGAAGCCACATCAGCAGGTAAAATTTTATTCTCAGATAGTTGCATCTTTTTTTGTTGCCTTGACTTATATGCAGATTTCTCCTTATTTGCTTGCTGTCTTCATTTTTGAATATGAAGAAAGACCTGGGTACATATTAAACCCTCCCATTGCTCCAAGTTTTTCATCTGGAAAGTGAACTTCTAATATTACCAACTTCCATAGGATTCTGTGAGGTTTGATATAGAGTGTTGAAGGCTTAACTAGTGCCTACTTCACTGCATTAGATGATGGTTTATTAAAATGGTATGTAATTTAAGCAAAATAACTTTACCAGAAGTAGAGAAATACTTCTTTTAATCTTTTAAACAGTATAAAAGTGGTTTTTGGTTTTTTTTTTCCTAGTGATGGCCAGTTGTTGTTAAATTAGTAATTTGGTCCCAGGCAACCAAAAGAGAATTGCTTAAGGGCAGGACATTTTTAATGTAGCTTTTGTTAGATTTTGTCCTCTTACCTTAATACTTTTTAAATTTCTCATTTTATCATGGTTTTTGTTTTTTAAGGAAATGGAAGTAGAACAACCTTGTATTCAAGACGTTAAGCGACATATGTCTGATAACAGAAAGTCAAGATCTAGGTCAGCATCCAGGTAATTTATAGAAAATGTTTTTTCCAACCCTGTGTGTCTTAGGGGACACAAATTAAAATTAGATTGGGTTATTTTCAGATATTCAGAGTGTTAGTAAAATAACAGTTGGTATATTTGTATTTGTATATGTGTGTAGAAGGGGACAGGTGAAGTATTGATTTTAAAAAAAAAAATCTACATCATTTGTCTTACATTTTTTTCCCTATATTTGAGTTGCTCAGATGTAATGGAACTTTGAAAATACAATTCTATACCATAGGTATAGAGTATGTGGTATTAGAAGAACTGTATTTTCAAAATTCCATTACAACTTCATCAGCCAGCAAAAGTGGAAAGATCACAGTAATGATGTAATTAGATAATGTTTTTAATTGCTGCAGAAAAGACTTTACTGAGAAGATAGATAACAGTAGTAGCAGTATATCTCAAGCATGAAAATTAGCTACTTAAATTATAAGGACGTAATTTTGTATAGTACCGGAGGCACTGAAGATGACAGATACTTTTATTATATAAGCTGTCAACATTGTTTATTTTATTTAAATAATGCGCATGATTTCTAATTTGGGACATACTAAAATCTGTAAAATGAATTCTCGGCTATTGCATTCTTACGTATCCAAACATTAAATTACCTAGTTGTATTTTTTTTTTTTTTTAATTAGTATGTGCTTATATTTTCTGGGTTTTGTCTATGTGCTATGTGTTCTCTCTTCTCTTGAAAACATTAGGTCACCAAAAAGGAGGCGATCTAGATCTGGTTCTAGATCTCGAAGGTCTCGTCATCGACGTTCTCGATCTCGGTCCAGGGATAGACGCCGACATTCTCCTCGATCTCGATCCCAAGAAAGACGGGATCGAGAAAAAGAGAGAGAACGTCGACAAAAAGGCCTCCCTCAAGTGAAACCAGAAACTGCAAGTGGTAACTCAACCTTTATATTCAAACCTCATGTACTGTTTTTTCATGTCTTAGGTTTAAAGTGTTTATAACTGTTAGCAAAGCTATAAAAGAAATGTTACCACTGTGTTTTTATTTGAAATACTGCTTTATTGTGCCTTGTTTATGCATTGATGTATCCCTTAGATTTGCTTTTGTACCTTAAACCAGCTATAAAGCAGCAGTAAGGAGTGAACCAAAAATTTACAGAATATATTCACTTGCATTATTTTCTGAATCTCATCAGATGTCTTCAGAATACATTTAGTAAGATGTACTAGGCATATATTTGATATAAATTAGTAACTATTAAGATGACTAAGATTTTAATTTATAAAACAACTAGGGCATATGTAATATTTCTGATTCCATAAGACTTATCACCTAGGACACAACATAAAAGAAAAACCATGAACACTTAAGAGTGGAGAAAGGACAGTTACATGTAACAAAGCACGTAGCTGGTTGGTAATCAAGAGAGTTGATGAAATCGTTAGATCCATCTGCAAAAAAGCCAGTTTTTTCCAGCTTTTATGTATACCTTTCACTATCCCAGTTCTCTTTCTGGAAGTACAATTGCAGATTTCTAGAATTTTTTAAATGTATGTGAGATTTACTATTTAAACTTGTGGTGGTGTAATATATTTCATGAATATTTTGTGTAATGATTTTTTTATGTAAGCTACAGTGCTACTCATTATCAAATGTGAATCTCTTTATGATTGTAATTTTATTTTAAGTTTGCAGTACTACCCTCTGGGTGGGACAGCTGGACAAAAGAACTACTCAGCAGGATGTTGCCAGTCTCTTGGAAGAGTTTGGTCCAATTGAATCAATTAATGTGAGTGTTTATTCAGTTATTTAAGTATGATGGACAGGTGTGATTAGTGTCATTTTATGAAATGAAGGACTTGAGACCAAAGTTATAATTTGCCCAGGTTTATAGATGTGACTAGAGTTTAGGTGCTCTTGAGTCCACGTTTAGAACTCTGTATTTAACATTTCTTAGAATTCTTTGTATTTAACATTTCTTGGATATTTAAGTTTAATTTCAAACATTTCTAGGTAAGTCTTTATTTAACAAAGCTTAGAGGACTCAGTTGAGACCCAACTTGAATTGCCAACTTAGAAATGAATTTAACCTTACATAATAGAACATGGGGTGAGGGATGGGATTGTTGGAACTGCTTACTTAGTTTTGTATCTTACTGCTTTTCAATTTTGTTATCTTTATAATATTAAAATGTTTTGGAGCAGATGATTCCTCCCAGGGGTTGTGCCTATATTGTTATGGTTCATAGGCAAGATGCGTATCGTGCCCTGCAGAAACTGAGCCGAGGAAACTATAAAGTGAACCAGAAATCCATAAAGGTACAGTCTTGTATGTTATAATTCATCTTTTAAAAATAGGCAGAGGCAGAAGGGGGAAAATATGTGGCCTATAAAAACTAATTTGGGTTTTAGAAATTATTTTCAACACTGAGGCATTTCATGTGCATCTCTTTCTTTTTTTTTGCTTAGAATATCTCCTAAAGAACTCCAGTGTTTTAACAGAAAATTGTAAATGTTACATGCATGATAGAATTTGTTTGTTTTTTTCCTAAATGTAGATGGGTTCATCAAGGTAAATTAGTGCTTTAAATATAATGTCCTTTAGCAATATGTTTTGTCCTGTTCAAAAAAAATTGGATACTGTATTTTTAAAGTTTACCATATTAACCAAAAGTGGAGAAAAACATATAGGTACATGGGTATTTTTCCCCTAAGGTGCTAAAGTCAGTGTTTCCTCAGTGTCTTAACACCCCGTTCTACCACTGGATTGCACTGCAAAAACATTTTGTCTGATGTTAAGTAATTACAAGGCACCCCTAGACTTAGAAAAGTAGTCCCCAGTATACTACTAGGCTATTCAGGGAACTTCAGGCTTTCCCTGATAAACTTTTTCCTTTTCTCTTAGTTTTATGTTGGCTGGTTTGGGTGAGAGTTGGTAAGGAAAATATGCCAGTGAAATTTCCATCCTAGGACAAAATGAGAATTAAAGGGTAACCAGTTCTGTAGTGAGAATAAGGCTTTGAATGAGATCCAAGCCTAGCTGGTCCAGATTGCTCCCTTGCTGCCCAAGTGGGAATGGATAGAATGATAGAGAATAGTACTCTCAAGACTTATGATCTTGTTTTTCTTTCTTTTCTTTTTATATTTTCACTAATGGTGAAATAGATTGCCTGGGCCTTAAACAAAGGAATAAAGGCAGATTATAAGCAGTATTGGGATGTAGAACTTGGTGTTACTTATATTCCATGGGACAAAGTCAAGCCTGAGGAACTGGAGAGTTTTTGTGAAGGAGGAATGTTGGACAGTGACACACTTAACCCAGGTAAAGCAGTATTTAATTTCTCTTACAGTTCACTTATTTGCTTGGTAGTACATATGACAAATTAAATGTCCTGTTCCTTGCATTAGGACGTGATTTTTGAGATTTTTTAGTATCCCTTCTGTGTCAATATCTCCATTATAAACAGGGTTAAATAGTGAATGAGACAAAAGAGATGTAAACACAAGTGAAATACTTATTGATTATGGAGTTTATGAATTACAGAATTAAGTAGAACTTTTCCTGTGAAACTTAACGGATCATATAGGTCTTCACTGAGCATGTTTGGTACTACGTATTATTTATTTTTTTGAGATGGAGTCTCACTCTGTTGCCCAGGCTGGAGTGTAGTGACGCCATTTTGGCTCACTGCAACCTCTGCCTCCCAGGTTCAAGCCACTCTCCTCCTTCAGTCTCCCGAGTAGCTGGGACTACAGGCGTGTGCCACTTTGCCCGGCTAATTTTTGCATTTTCAATAGAGACAAGGTTTCACCATGTTGGCCAGGCTGGTCTCGAACTCCTGACCTCAAAAGATCTGCCCACCTCGACCTCCCTCTGGCATTACAGGCGTGAGCCACTGCACCCAGCTTGGTATTGTGTTTTAATCCAGTGCTTCATAATAAGTACCTTGGAAAGTTTTAGATGTCCAGAGAAGCAATCTAAAGTAAACGTGTAAGACAAGGAGTTGCAGTTATTTGTGGGCACAAATATTTAAAATGCCAGATTGACAGTAAAATTGCAGTGGGGAAAATCGCAGAATGCATGGGCATGACCTGGAGATTGCTAGACAGAGGAACAAGGAGGAGAATAGGATGGCATGGCAACACAGAACGTTTTTTTGTTGTTGTGTTTTGAAATGGAGTCTCACTCTTGTCACCCAGGCTGGAGTGCAGTGGCATGATCTTGGCTCATTACAGCCTCTTCCGGGTTCCAGTGATTCTCCTGCCTCAGCCTCCCAAGTAGCTGGGACTACAGGCATGTACCACTGTGCCCTGCTGATTTTTTGGGGTTTTTTTTAGTAGAGACGGGGTGTCACCATGTTGGCCAGGCTGGTCTCGAACTCCTGACCTCAGGTGATCTGCCTACTGCCTCAGCCTCCCAAAGTGCTGGGATTACAGGCGTGAGCCACCATGCTTGTCCTCACCGCCCTCAGAAAGAACATTTAAAGGAAGCTTCAAGGCCAGGCACAGTGGCTCATGCCTATAATCCCAGCTCTTTGGGAGACTGAGGTGGGCAGGTCACTTGAGGTCAGGAGTTCAAGACCAGCCTGGCCAACATGGTAAAACCTCATCTTTACTAAAAGTACAAAAAAAAAAAAAAATAGCTGGATGTGGTGGCGGGTGTCTGTAATCCCAACTACTTGGGACACTGAGGCTGGAGAATTGCTGGAACCCAGGAGATAGAAGTTGCAGTGAGTTGAGATTGCGCCACTGCACTCCATCCTGGGAGACAGAGCAAGACTCCGTCTCAAAAAATAAAAATAAAGGAAGCTTCAAGCAGGAGTGATGGTTTGAGAACCAAAAAGAGCTGAAACAATGCTGTGCTATTCCAACATCCCACTCCCTCCCTCTATTAATGCACAAAGCCTTCATCTAAGGATAGAGCTAGATTTGTGTTAAGGCAATCAGGTGTTGAGGGCCTACTATGTGCCAGACAGATATCTGGCAGGCTCTGGAAAATGGTAAAAAGAAGATGGTGTAATCTTGGAGCTCATGGTCCAGTGGAGAATGTATTGAAAAGGTCAAGAATATAGGAGAATCTCTGATGGAGCCAGAGGCTCAGAGGACAGAGCAGAAAGATGGCTTTGTTTTCACTTGACTAGAAGATACGTGGAAATAGGTGGAAGGTATAAGTTATTCTTTAATACTAGTGAAAATTTGTTCAGGAAATACTGAGTGTTTCATGATCCTTTATTTTTAATACATTCCTGTGGTTAAGAACATGGACTCTAGAACCAAATGTGTCTGAGTTGAATCCATCCCTGCCATTTACCAAGAATGTGATCTTGGGCAAGCTGTCTTTGCTTTTCTCATTTGTAAAATGGGAATAATAATAGTATCTACTTGTAAATGGTTGTGAGAACTACATAAGCTAGTATAAATAGAGTGCTTCTGACAGTGCCTGGCACACAGTGTGCATTCTTTTACATGTTTCTATTGTTGTTAATTTAAATAATTACTATTTCTAAAATTAGCATAGGAATTTAATAACTGTGCTAGGTTTTTATAATCAACATTTTTTATTTCTAGATTGAAAGTTACAAACTGAAAATGGTAAACTCTTGTTAAATTTCTTTCACTCTCACAGATTGGAAAGGAATTCCTAAGAAGCCTGAAAATGAAGTTGCTCAAAATGGAGGTGCTGAAACCTCACACACAGAACCAGTATCACCCATACCTAAACCGTTACCTGTGCCTGTCCCTCCTATTCCTGTTCCTGCACCTATAACAGTGCCCCCTCCACAGGTGAGGATATTGGGACATGACTTAAACTTGAAGTGCCTGAAAGGTCCCTTTGTAGATATATGTCTGAATTCAGAGTAAAAAACATGACTACATATATGTGCATATTAATTTTTCATGTTTTGTCAGATTTAAAGTTTCTATTCTTTTCATAATTTTTGTTTTTGTTTTTGGAGACAGAGTCTCTCTCTGTTCCCCAAGCTGGAGTGTGGTGGCACGATCTCAGCTCACTGCAACCTTCGCCTCCCAGGTTCAAGCCGACCCTCTTGCCTCAGCCACCTGAGTAACTGAGATTACAGGCGTGTGCCACCACACCCGGCTAATTTTTGTGTTTTTAGTAGAGGCGGGGCTTCACCATGCTGGCCAGGCTGGTATCAAACTCCTCACCTCAAGTGATCTGCCTGCCTTGGCCTCCCAAAGTGCTGGGATTACAGGCGTGAGCCACAGTGCCTGGCCCATAAATGTTTATACAACCAAAGTAAATGTATATTGTCTTACATCTATCCATCCAGATTATTCAGTATCAAGTTTCATAGGTTCTGCCTACTTTTTTTCTGAGTCTTCATTCTTCAGGGACGTTATGTTCTGAAGAAACTTGGATATGTACCCAATAAGTTGCTGCTTTGGGGGAAAGGAATTTTCCTAATTTTCACCTTGGGTGCTATTATTATGAAATTTTCAAATGGATTGAAAACTTTATAATAAATTAAATGCCATTTTTAACATGAAGATATGTTCTTACTCTAAAATATTTGCTGTCTACTCAACCAACCTGTTACTTGAAAAGAATACTAGATTCTGGTAAAACTGGGTTTAATTCTCAACTCCATTGTTTATATTCAGCAGTATGGTATTTAGCATGTAACCTAACCTCTAAGGTTCAGTTTCCTATTTGTAAATGTGCAAATTCCCTTTCCTGGCCTTGGCATTCCTCATATGTTAAGAGTTGTTTTGAGGGTTAAATGAGATAATATGTGTTAAGTACTCAGTATGTTTTTTGTCACGTCGTAAGAGCTGAAAAATGAAAAACCCTTTGAAAATTATAAGAACTTGACCCATAGTTCTATGTGTGATCTACTAGATTTTTCTTGTCTTCCTTCCTCAGTTTCTCACATTAAATCTGAATCAGATAAATCTGAGCTATCACAAAAATCTGAATTGTGTCTTCATTTTCTCAATGTGAGGGGAAAACTGTGTGCTTTGCTACATTCTTAGCTGTGATTTAAATGGACTCCCCTAGTTGGTAAACCCTTCAGTTGACCTTCTGGATATGCCCTTCCAGTGCAGGTTCTAAACAAAATTCAATGTGTGTCAGCACTCATTTACAGAAACCTGCCTACTCTGTTAAATAGCGGTCCCCAACTTTTCCGGCACTAGGGACTGGTTTCTTAGAAGGCAGTTTTTCCATGGACTGAGGTGGAGGATGGTTTCAGGATGAAGCTGCTGCACCTCAGATCATGAGGCATTATATTCTCATAAGAAGTGCCCAAGCTAGATCCCTCACATGTGCATTTCACGATAGGGTCCATGCTCCTATGACAATCTCATGCTACCACTGATCTGACAGGAGGCAGAGCTCAGGCGGTGGTACTTGCATGCCCACTGCTGTGCGGCCCATTTCCTAACAGGCCATAGACTGATACCCTGGCTAGGGATTGTTAAAATTTATCTTTAAAAAAAAAAAAATAGCTAACATTTGTTGGGTATTTAAGTGCCAGGCACCAGCATTTAGTATGTATTAACTCATTTAATCTGCATAATTGTATGTGGTTGGCACTTTCCCATTTTAGAGAGTTTAAATAGCTTGCTCAAGGTCACACAGCTACTAAAGTGGGTGGGAGAAGCAGACAATTTGGCTCCAGGACCTGTGATCTTAGCCATTGTGTAAATTGCCAAGTAGCCTGTCTTAAAGCTGTATTGCTGAGAGTACCATGGAACATTTTAAAATGTATTACATGATGTCAAAACACTGATGAAATATAGTGTGAATTTGCTGTCATAAAGTAGAGAGCACGACTTTGATTTCTTTCTTTCTTTCTTTTTTTTTGAGATGGAGTCACGCTCTGTTACCCAGGCTGGAGTACAGTGGCTCAATCTCGGCTCACTGTAACCTCCACCTCCTGGGTTCAGGCGATTCTCCTGCCTCAGCCTTCGGAGTAGCTGGGATTACAGGCACTTGCCACCACACCCAGCTAGCTAATTCTTGTATTTTTAGTATAGACAGAGTTTCACCATGTTGGCCAGGCTGGTCTTGAACTCTTGACCTTAGGTGATCCACCTGCCTTGGATTCCCAAAGTGCTGGGATTACAGGTGTGAGCCATCGCACCTGGCCCACAGCTTTGATTTCTATCAGTTGGTACGAATAGAAGTTACCACCTGTTATTTAATGAATTTACTGGTCTAATAAGCACAAATTAAGAAACATCTATTTTTTTGACCAGTATGCTCTTTTACCTGTGCTTACTATATGGACAGGAGGGTGTCTGGATAGGTGGTTTATTCTTCTGTCTTTCTTTCTAGGTCCCACCACATCAACCAGGTCCACCTGTAGTTGGTGCTCTCCAGCCACCTGCTTTCACGCCACCTCTGGGAATTCCACCTCCAGGCTTTGGTCCTGGTGTTCCTCCTCCCCCTCCTCCTCCACCATTTTTGCGCCCAGGATTCAACCCAATGCATTTACCACCAGGTACACTAAACTGTCTGTGAACATACTTACTTTAGAGCCTGCGATGAAGTGATAACAGCATAAGTTGACATTATTTTTCTTATTCTAGGTTTTCTTCCTCCTGGACCCCCACCTCCTATAACTCCACCAGTATCCATTCCTCCTCCTCACACTCCACCAATAAGCATCCCAAACTGTAAGCATGTTTTTTTCTTTGTGTTTGCTTATCCTCTTGGAGCTGGGTGTAGGAGGGAGAGTGAACCGGTAATAGGGTCTATAGTATGGCAGAAGAATGTTGGCCGGGAGATAATTAATTATTCAGCTTCACATGTTGATATAATTATATTCCTTAGCTACTATCGCTGGTATAAATGAAGACACTACAAAAGACTTATCTATTGGAAATCCCATTCCAACAGTGGTGTCTGGGGCTAGAGGAAACGCCGAGTCTGGTGACAGTGTGAAAATGTATGGCTCTGCTGTGCCACCTGCTGCACCCACGAATCTGCCCACCCCTCCTGTAACCCAGCCTGTTTCACTTCTTGGTAAGTTATTTTTTTTTATCATTAGTTTTCCTTGCCCCACCCCCCCTCACCCCCCACCCACCCCAAGTTAGGTTTTTTAAAAAACAATGTTAATTTTGGTAAAATTATCTCCAAGACTGGCTTTTTTGGTTGTTTTTTTGTTTGTTTGTTTTTGAGGAAGATCTTCCTCTTAAAGTCAAATATGTGTACTTGATCTTTACCAAGAGATACTCTCAAAGACAAAATCATGTTTGTCTGTCTTGAATAAAAGTTTGGATCTTCACATCCTTATTTGGTATAGAAAAATGATTAATCTCTGTGCAAAGGAATTGGTACAGAGTTCGTAATTAACTTAATCTTAGTCTCTTCCCAGCCTTTAAAGAGATATTTCTTTAACAGCATAGGTTTTTCTCTGTCTGGACCAATTATTATCCATCTGAAACCCCAGGACTTGGGTAGCATTCTTTGTGGGCTAGCAAAGAAATTGTTTTTGATACATTCCAATAAAATGGCTTTGTTTTCTGAGTAACAGTTGCACAGCCTGAGGTACCACTTTCCCACTCACTCAGTTTACTTGGCTGGAGTTTATCTGTTGTACTTTTTACCCACAACTTCAATACTGTGATCAAGGCCAATGTAACTTAGATCTTTTACACCTTTAAGAGGGCTTACTCTTGCCTGCTTAAGTTATGAATAAATACGTCACATGCTTGTTATAGTAGACCATCTTTTAAATTAACAAATTGTTACATTTGAAGTGGTATTGCCAAATATAATGAACACTTGAATCCCCTAATTGGAAGTTAATATCTTGAGAGTATTACAGTGTTCTAGTCCTGTGAGCCCATAGTATTTTTCAAAGGTAAATGCATATGCCTGTTTACTTTCATCATCTGAGTTGTTTCAGGAAAGAACCCATTGATTATTTCTGAGATGTAGGACTGTGAGACATTGGTTTGTAATGGAGGACTTTTACTTTTCACCTATGCTATTCAGTACTGTTGGAATTTTTTATTTTTTGCATGTATTACATTTATAATAAAAAATAATTTGCTTTTAAATGGTATACTGTATTCTGCCCTCCCCTAGCCTAAGGTTAGGCTGATAATAGCCTTGATTTTATTTCCCTTAGTACACGGATTGGGTAATGGTAAAAGAGGATTTGGGATTAAAATTTATCACAAGTGATATAGGAGTATAGTTACCATAATGATGGAAAATGATTTGTTTAATGAGGAAGTTGCTTAAGAGGTCTACCTTCCAATGGAAGTCATATCATACAAGGAGCATTGGACTAGGAACCAGGGAACATGTTTGCATCTGTTTTGTTATGCTTTTTTTTTTTTTTTTCCATATTAACATGATTGCACAAGAATCACAGAATCTGGATAGTTTTCTATTCAACCCCTTCTCTTCACATCCCACATGCCCACACACACACACACACACACCCGTGATTATGGAATCCTAGTCTAAGGTCCATGGATGTTAGACTGCCTGAAACTATTTACACAATTGCTGCATTTCTGTTTTTTACTGGGCTTAATACATTTATTGAATGAGTGAAAAGATCTCTTGAACTCCAGAAGTTTAATAACCACTGCTTTCAAACAACCGTGAAGAGTAGTAAGTAGCTTGCCTGTGATTTAACATTTAGGTCTTGAAGACCCTGCCTGTTATTTCTTATCACTACTGAACATACAATTTAACCTCTGCGTCCAACATATGAAACCAAACACAGATGAGAAGTTGGTGAGCTTGGAAAAACATAGTAAGCTAGGCATGGCTAGAAAAGTAATTAAATTCTGAATCAGTCGTAGCGTTTATCATCACCTGACATACTGTTTGCGTGTCCATCTTCCTCCCACTAGATGGACCCATGAGAGGGGGAACATTTGTTACATGAGTGGGTGGTTCTCAATGGAGGACTGTTCATATTTTACCTCTGATGATTATCTTCATTCTAAAACAAAATTTTTAAATTGAAGGCTATTCTAAATCCAGAAGGGTTTAGAATTTGACGTAAGAAAAGTGAAAACAGTTTGGTTAAAATAAGCACTTTGAACTAAAATGCAGCAGGTTAGTTCCAGTCATGAGAAAGAAAGCCTTCCATGTGCCTTCAGTCAGCAGTCTTGAAAAGAATATCACAGGAATTTTGACCTTATAGAGGAATGAGTTTTAAATGTGTATGCAAGCTGAGAAGGGTTCATCCAAGACTAACCAGTTTTATCATTTTGATAAAGGAATGTGGTAACCACACTGCAGTATTGCAGTACTAAAGGATCAGTAATTAGGTTGGGATAATCAAGTGATGGAATCCCAGAACTAAGATGCTTTGGTATTTCCTCTTGGTGTTCTAATGTTTTAAGATAATAAAAGGAATTGTTATGCTCCCCAGAAAACTGTGAGTCTAGAAGTTGATACTAAACTTCAGTTTTCTCATCTGTAAAGGGGGATAAAAATGACAGACACAATGGTGTCATGATGATTTAATGGGCTAACATATATAAAACACTTGCTTTGGGGCCTGCTGTAGGACAGGCACTTAGTGAATGGCAGGTGCTTATACAGGTAAGAAATGTCATAATGGTATTTATAACACCTAGAGAAGAATATCTTTTGCAATTCTAAAATTATATTCAGCTGTGATTCGTTTTAAACTGTTGTATTGGCAGACAGAGGAAGCAAACTTTCTTTTTGAGACGAGTCTCACTCTGTCGCCAGGTTAGAGTACAGTGGCGCAGTCTCATCTCACTGCAGCCTCCGCCTCCCGAGTTCAAGCGATTCTCATGCCTCAGCCTTCCAAGTAGCTGGGACTACAGGCGCGTGCCACCATGCCCAGCTAAGTTTTGTATTTTTAGTAGAGATGGGGTTTCACCATGTTGGCCAGGATGGTCTTGATCTCTTGACCTCGTGAGCGACTGCATCCAGCCTACTTTTTAGGAAAAAAAATTTATCTTGACATGGTTGCCTCACATATTTTCAAGATAGATTAGATCATAAATTTACACATATTAAAGTTCCATCAGTTGGCTTAATGAGAGAACGTGTCAGTTTAGTGATAAATAGCACACCTACTAGATAGCTATAGTTTTTCCAGTGAGTGAGACTTAACTGAGTTCTTGGATCTAAATTTGTGAAATGTGGCAATATTTTTAAAGTAGTAGGTGCCACAGAGTTGTTCAGTGGGTCTCCGAAAATTCTGTAGTGAAGCCTGATTATACTGGAAAGAGGCAGTGGGTGCCTTAAGGATGGTTTGCTTGTATCATCAGACTTAAGTGTGGGTGTTAGTTTGGGAGTAATTAGTTGAGTTGTACTACTGAATTGGGAGGGAATAAAACCAACTTTTAGAGATTTTGATTCTTTCAGTAATACTGATAATCTGAAAATATAAAATTACTTGATGCACAATAATAATTCATTATGACTTGATTTTAAAGAAATCTCACACACCAAAATAGCTACCATGGTGGGAGTTTCATAAAAGCTAAAGATAACATTCTACAGTTGTTGGTCACTTAGGAGAAAAGGAATATTAAAAATGATAGCAATTCAGTTCATTCTTTTTACTGTATTAAGTGTTTGTGTTTACTTTTCAAAAACTTTTGTATAACATGTATCTCTAATATGTACAGCCTATTTTTATTAAAAAGTTCATTGTAAATGTAAAGTTTGGGTTACTTTGGTGTTCCAAACAATAAAAAAGAATACACAAAAAAATGTTTGTTTGTGTTACCTATCTCTACTGTGTTACCAGTATATCCAAAATCTCTTCTCAAGCAAAAACTGTTCTAGGTCGAACTCATTCCTTTTATGGGAAATTAAAGCCTCTTTCTTGACAAGTATATTTATTCATTAATTATCAATATGAAGAGATTACCGCCAGTTTTTGTCACACTACTGTAGCTGATGGTAAAATTTATAAATAAGAATTGGGTATTTGTAAGATCACTTCCTACTTGTAATTTTTGTTACCAAAGGTTTTAAAGCCAGAGTCACAAGTTGGTGGCCTGTGGCTGAATTACTAGGCAGTGGTGTGATGCACTGCAGTCCTGGCATGGCTTCAGTAGGCATTTGAGTTGGTGATTCCAGATTTGGACACCTCAGGAAATTGTGGGGACAGAATTGGTTTGTGAATTATATTTAAACAAGCATAAATGTTTTTATGCTATCGTTATGATCCCTGAAACTGCCTAGAAGATGAGTAACTTTGCCAGCAATATCAATATCCAATATCAGTTGGAATTTGATTTGGTGATTTCACTTGTTTGGATTTTTTTTGCACAGTTTCTGTCTAAAATTTTAGATTTTTTAATGGCTCATTTTTAGCAATACTTATTAGAATATTAAAGCACCAGTCTACTAGTAATGCACTAGTTAGCCACTGACATTAAAAGGAAGCCTGAAGAAAATTCTAGGAAGTAGAGTTTTTAAAGTACTAACATAATATGTAATTTTTGAAAAAACAATTTTTGTGTTTTAATTTTGTTTGAACTTTAATGTTTGGTTACCTTAAATTATAAGCTAGAGTGATATATCAGGTATTTGATTTGGTACCCAAAAAGCCTGTTTACTTATCCTGTAAAAGTGTTCTTTGAAAGCTTTAAAATATTTGAATTAGTACTCTAATTACTGTATTATGTTATTCCACTAGTGTTATATAGTAGAAATGGTTCTTAAATACAAATTACAGTACCTTCAACTTAGTATATAACATTGTTCATTGGATACGTGGATAATGCAAAATAGTGATTAATCTACAACAAATATTTGGCATGGATATGAATTTACACGTGAACACACCATAGTTTCTCACAAGGCAAAGCACTTCAAATGAAACATGAAGAAGGTCTTGCAGAAAACCTTGAAATGTTTTAACACGTTGTCTACACTTCTCCTGGGCTGTCACTTCCTAGACTGCTCTAGAGTGCAAGTCTGAAGAATGTCTTAAATTTAAATCTTTCTGAGGGACATCTTGAGGAAGGTGGGAGCGGTAGTAACTCTGGGCTCTAGATTGATTT